GCCGATATTCTTTACTCTTTATTTTTCGTTTTTATTTTCTGGTCTTTGCAACCAATGTTTATGACACATGCGTAAGAAAATGGCGTAACAAAAAATAAGAAAAAGAAAAGTACTGGACGTTCTAAGACTTGAATACTAAGTAAAATAGTCAGAGAGAGAAGAATATGGAAAATGCTATACTGGTAGCAGACAAAAACTACTACATCACATCAGGAGCCGAACTTCTCCAACATGCGTTCTTGAACTTAAGCAGTATATCAAGATCTTAAGAAGTAACGAACTAAATTCAATCAGCAAAGTCTACCACCTAATCAGGGAGTCTCTTTGAGCATATCGCATTCCAGTGCTCACTCTTTCAAAATCTTATGTTTGCGAAATGAGATACATAATACATCAACAAATCACAAAAGGATACTGAGCAGTTTCCAGTTCAAAAAGAACTGTAGTTCCCGTTCGCGGGAACTGGAACTGGTGAACCATTCCTAGTTTCTAGAAACGTGAACTGCTGAACCGTTCCTAGTTCAGAACGGAAACGAAAAAACCGTTCCCGTTTATTGAAAGGGAACTGAAAAACAGTTCCCGTTATCCAGAAACTGCAGTACAAGGAACTATGAACTGTCACAGGCCTAGTCTTAGGGTGAAGATGTGGGTGTGGATGAGGATATAAGAAGAATGACATCCGCATGCATATCCCACACCCACAAAATATGAGCTTGATTGGCATTGGTCAGGTAGAGATGTTCTCTCGTTAATCCATTCTATTCGAAATCCAGATGTGATCGATAGTATTTTTCAATCAATTTTTTTCCTCAACTATGATATATTTGATTCCGAGTAAAATCTAATAAACAAGACAAATTCAAATTTGAATTACCTCTTCGTCGTTTTAGAAATAAATCAATATTTTCTAATAATATTTTATATCTTTTAGGTGTTATTTTATCCTGAATTGTTTTAATGCCATTTATCCAACCATGTTCCGCAATATTATCTAATACCAAATCATATAAATTTTGATTATCTGTAATATCACTTTGTTTAAATAACTGAAATAGATCTTGACGATAAAATTCACGTAATGCTTGGAATAATCCTGGTTGTTTTTTATTTATTTGTTCGTTCATGATTTCTGCAATAATATAATCAGAGTATTTTGTAATTGATTTTAAACCATCATTTGTAATTGAAAACCATAAATCGTCAAATACACATTTTTCTTTTAAACATTTATCATCAATATCCTCGAATAGAAGTTGTAAAACAATTGATAATATAGGATAATTTTTCATATATTTATTTCCATGTTCTGCTGTACGAGTTAAAACGTATTCATACAAATCAGGATGTTTTTTATTTTTATATTGTTTAAGAAATGAAATAAACCATTCATTAGATAAACCATATTGTTTTTCCCATTTTAATTGAAAATACTTTTTTAATGATTTTATTAATTCACTATCATTGCTATTTATTTGTTCCTTATAGATCTCTGGAATAATATCTTCTTCATAATTCGTCAATGATTGTCGACCATGTTCTAATAAATCATTAACGATTTTATCTTTATTTTCATCATCATCATCCAACATGAGAATCTTTATTAATTCATTTGTAATTAGTCTTAACATATCACCACTATCAATAATATTATCAACGTTTTCACTTGAAGAACAATCCATTTTTGTTAAATCCGATATTTCCGCTAATTGATCGATTTTATGTTCTGAAATGATGGGAAAACCATTAGGAAATTCAGCATTTTTCTGATTATTAGAAAGTTTCTAACTTGAAAGACGTAAAATTTAAATTAATTAACCTTTAAGTTTCCTAGATTACTCCCTTCTGGTAGAACAAATACTCGAATTACAAAACTGTAATGTCTATATTTGAAAGATATCATATATTCAGCAAATCGTGTATGCGGGGTACACAAAAGTTATCTCTGACTAACTCATTAGTTATTATCTATGAATGAATCTATCGTCGCATTTCTCTAGAAGAAGTATGCATGCTGCGCATTTATATCTCATGTAATTCTCTCTACAATTTTTTCCGCTTTTCAATCTAGGAACTTTGACAGAACGCATACGGCAGATTCTATGCATGTATTTCTGCCGTCATCCTGATTTCATTCTCCAATAATCGCTGATCGAGCGTCATACGAGTCGTAATAATATTATTTGATCTATACACGCTTGTTTTCCATTATCTTGGTTTTTAATGTTGACCTGAATCTGAACTTTAAAATCAAAAGTGAAATCTTGCCACGCTAATACAGGAATTTATCAGTGAGAACCGCATCAGCATCGTTATTAAATCAACTCTTAATGAAGTCATCATTAAGTTTAACAAAACTCTTCAAAACAATCATTTTATTCATGAGACAACATTTTCTGCTATTGCCTCAACACGTTCCTTATATTAACATATAAAGGGTGTTTCATAAGTAACTACCCAACTTTTATTTTTTGTGTAACTTATCTTGACCATATTTGAAGCTGGACACCCATTGAACATATGTATTTGAAAAGAGTACACATAAGCTATCATCCAATATATATTGAGTCTAATTTGCATGAACACTAAGAAAGTACTACATTGGTAAATCTACTGAA